GTTAATAATGCTACTCTTGCTACAGGTAACTGGAGGAGGGGGGTACACGAAAGAAAATGTAGCCCGTTGCTGGACGGTTGAAACTGGGGTACTATTGGACACAGAGCTTCCAAATGGTACTATAAGTGTTATAATTGTCACAATCCAATTGTTGCGAACTTAGACATTCATTTTTGCAAGTGTGTTACAATTTAAAGGTCTGACATACAAAACTGTTTTAAAGTCCATCCGGTTATAATTTAGACACTATAGTCTCCGTGGAGATTTCCTAAATTTTAACATGGGTGTATAGGAAGAGGTCAGATGTGTGGAGAAAGGCTTTGTTGAAGTGAAAGTAGCTGCATTTAGGGGACTAGGCTGTTAGATTGCATCTAATGTCTAAAATAAGATCAACCTACCATCTGAAGGTCCAAGTTCTTGTTTATGCAATGTGTTCATAGAACTACTATTTTTACTTACCGCATGGTTTACGACCTTATTCCTTCAAATGAGATTTGAGTATTTATACTCTTCACCATTAGTATACTTAACAGAATGGTCCTTTCAGAACTTCAAATTTCTTGATTCACTTTTCGAAGTTCAAGAGGAAGTTGATTCCGTGCTGATTTTTTCACTGGCTCTGCGTCTTTATAATCTGTTTATACTTTTAGGTCTGCATCATTACCACGATGAAAGTTTGAATTTTGAATTTGCACACAAATGTGTATGCAAGAGTTCTGGAGGTATCTATGTCATGACCAAAATTCAAACTTTGGATTTTAAATTTGCATGGCGTGAAGCATGGACCTAACTATTATCCTAATTTCAACTGCACATTTAGTTCTATTTGATGCATTGCGTAGAAAACTTAAATCCACTTAATTTTATGTGTTACAAAAAATTTGAGCAGAGTGGATTATCCATCTGAATAGTCTAACCTTAATTCAAATGGGCTAGTCACATCCTCTGGAATATTCCAAAGGATAATACTTTGTTTTCATCTTTTTTTTATTTATCTGGCACCTGTCAGAAGTATATGTAGATTATGCAGCAAATATAAGTCATAACTTCTTACTTGCAGAAATTCCAGAGAACGAGTACATCAAATATTTTGGCCCAGATTATTCGTTGAAGATTCAGAGTGGTCATCTGGTATGAACTGTTATTTAATTCTTCCCGACCCTTAGTAGTTCATGGTTGTTGGGCTTGGTTTTTTGATCTTCAGGCCTATTTTCCAATTGAATCAATTGTAGACTTGGTACCCTAAAACTGCAGTTCCATATCATTATTTTCGTCTGTGTCTTTTAGGTAAGTATAGTATCTTATTACCAAGTAGCAATGAAGCTTAACATCAGATGTACATAATAGAGCTTCTCAACACCAAAACTGAGCTCTCAAAAACCAAAATATAGACATGTCAATCTCTCAACCAACTAATACAATGATCTAACTGTAAAGAAAGATAGAAAACAAAATTTTCGTGTGAAGACTTTTTGGAACAAAGTGTCGAAGACGGTAAAGCTTCGTCTTAGAGCACCATTCCCTTTTAACTTCTGTGTTATTTAACTGTAGGGTGTTAATTTGGCTGGTTCAGATTAACTTTTACCCAAACCTGACACGATTAACTTTGGGTCAAAACTAATCCTCCCTGCTAGTAAGTGTCAACCAGCATGACTGCGTTGATTCTTGGACTGATTGAGTTTAGATTGATAGGTTCTAAGTTAACCAAACTGTAGGCTGTCTAAAAATTACAATAGATAGCTGATTCCCATCAAAACACCGATGATGGAAGTTACACTCTGACGACTTCCAGAAGGTTATAATTTGAAGACTTTCACGTAGATCGCTGAAGGTTACAATCTGACGACCTTCACGACAACCGATGAGAGCTCTAGTTTAACAGCCTTCACAATCAACATCGAGAGTTACAATCTGACGACTCTTGCATATCAAAGAGCTAAAGTAAAGATTACAAAATGACGATCTTTGCAAAACTTCGACAGAAAGAGACTACAAATCAACGGTCTCTTCAAACCAAGACGTGGAAGTCCTCCCCGCGAACCAGCATCAAGACACACCATGTTCATAGCCACGAACGCAGCTCAAATCAGCAGCTGAACGCAGCTTCAACCGCTGCCTGACGCAGCTCCAACCGGCGTTGAACGCAGCTCCAATCTGCTGCCAAACGCAGTACAAATCGCTGCCAAACGCTGCTCTAATCGCTGTCCAACGTAGCGCCAAACGCAGCTTCCAACAAGATGCCAACGCAGCTTCCAGACACTGCGTTCAAGCTTTCAGACACTGCGTTTGAACGCAGAATTCACATCAGAACATGGATTTTGCGTTTGACTCGTTCAAACACGAGCTGAACGGTTTCAAAACCGTTTCCCACGATCTGAGGGGATCACAACCCCACTCAGGAGTGATTTAATGGGTGGTTACATCCCATTAGCCCCATTTAGGAGCGAATTAAGGAGGTGGTTACACCCCTTAATCCCCTATAAATAACTGAAAATCAATTCAGTTCAAGGGGTCGATCGGTTGGAACTTCTTGGCTCGGCAACAGGATCCTTAGAGCATTTCTGGAGCTTGGGAGATCTGCAACAAGAGCTTCTTCATCCTTGGCTTGAGAACCGATTCTCGGTTCAAATCAACTCTTTTTCAAGAGTTTCCAACTCATTCAGAGTTATCAACTCGTCCAGAGTTTCAAACTTGCCACGTAAGTTCTCCACAACGTCAAATCGTGAGGAGAAGATCACGTTCCAGTGAAACAAGACGTCGGATCGTCAACGAGAAGCAAACTCGACGCGAGCATTCGAGGGAGGCATCACATCGCTACCGTGAAGAACCCAGAATTAAATAAAGAGGAGAATCCAGATCATTCTCTTCTCTTTTGTAATCGGGAATTCAATTGTAATCGAGAGTGGAGAGAGTTGTAATCATTCTTTTTCTAAGCAGTTAGAGAGAATAAAATCAAATACAGTTCTTTCATTCATTTTTCTTATTACAAATTTTCCAACAAACACAAACATCAAAACTCAGTCTCCTGGTTAATCAATACGGAACAAAAATATTTTAACAAAAAATAACAAAGGAAATCCATGGATATTCACATCCCAAACAAGAATGTTAATAACAAAGAAGTATCTTTTAGAATAATACAGAGGTCTGCATGGGTTCTGCTGCCAGGACAGAAGGATTTAGGAGAAGAGAAACATGATGAATAGAGTTAGGGCTTGATTGGTTTCTTTATATGTAATGTAAGTAAAGTACTATATAACTTTCTAAATGTAATGCGCAATGGCATTTATTTTATGTTACTTTTGTGTGTGGAGTGAGGGCATGATGGAGGTGTGGACTTGAAGATAGATGACAGGTTTAGACCTCAATATTTCACTAGTACAATGAAGATTTTGTGAGAATCTAGTTTTTGATTTATTGTCCAACTGGGATGGTAGTGTCTATATCATTTACCAGAATGGGCCCATTTATTAATCAAGTTATGTGAATTGATTCAATTATGATCAGTAATTGTTTGTGCTGACCAATATTCAATGACTTTTGTTCCCGTTGGGGTCAATTTGTTTGGTCCAGTCCAGATTGACACCACCGTTGAACTCTCTGATTCTTAGCATTCAATTTTTGATGTTTCTATTTTGAAAGTTCACTTGTTTAGAGAAAAGATTCCATTACCTTTCTGTTTTCTTATGAAGCAGGAGAACTTTAATAGTAAATCATATCTGAGTGCAATCAAAGTGCAAGTTCTTGAAAGTTTGAGGTGTATACAACATGCTCCTGGTGTACAGATGCAAGAGGTAAATATCTTTTTTATTTATTTAAGATATACCACACTTTCTGCATGACCCTCCAACAAGCTTCAGCCTTATTACACTGAGGGTGAGTGCATGACTGTATGCGTTTTTTTTTTTTTTTTTTTTTTTTTTTGTGGGTGGGGGGAGTGGGGGTTGGGGGGATGCAGATTCTAATTGCTAGTACGAAGGACTCATTAATTTAAAAGTGATTTGGTGAATTTTTTTGGTCGCCATATGAACAAAGAACCAACAAGTTTGGTTTCATATAAACACGATAATTAAATAGGCAAGCTAGTAAGTAGTACAACAACGATGACAATAACTATGCCTTCGCCTCAAATTTTTTGGGTTTGGCTACATGGCTTCTGTTCATCCATTGGGTTAAGGACTATCTATTTCTATTGACTTCACCATGATCATATCACTCTTAATTATTTGCAGCCAAGTTTCTTAGGCCAAGTTCTGGTCTTCCTTGCTCCCCTAGTTATACTCTTATAAATCTCCTAGTTGGTGTATTAAGTTGCTTCCGTTGCATGTGCCCGAACCATCTGAATCAGTTCTCTCTCTCTCTCTCTCTCTCTCTCTCTCTCTCTCTCTCATATTAATCCTCATTAGGAGCAATCTTTGACTTCCTACAAAATGAACTCATTTTCTATCCCATCTGATATCGAATATCCACACGTCTATCATACCATTCTCAGTTTTGCCACTCATTTTGCACAACTTTTTTATTTTCCTAATTCTGAACTATAAACATTGTTTGTCTTTTAACTGCACTATAACGTGTTAAGCATGTCCATGTGACTTCTTTCGGCCGCTATCACATTCCTTTTCCTAAAAAAAGGGATGATCTCTTTGAGCTGTAATGTTATACGTTGAAATATATTCCTATTGTAAGATCATTGTAGGAAATTACCAAGTTTGTGGGATATCTATGCTTTACACTGTTAAAAATAATATGGATGGTGTTGATTATTTAATGGAATGGTGAAGTGAACAGAAGGTGAAATAAGGGGGAAAAGAACCTTGTTTTTGTAGTTGTAACTGAAAATTTATGATTGTCCTCACTTTCACAGGTTCCGCCAGATTTCTATATTCCAGATTTTGATGAAGATGAGCAGAACCCAGATGAACGAGTACATCGTAAGTGAACTTTCTGAACACGCATATGTAATCTTACGCAATGATTTATCATTCTGATCTTAAGCTTAATTAGGTCCCAGTAATAAAGTCCAGTTGTGCACCCCCAAAAAAGGTTTTTTTTTTTTGGGGTGGGTGGGGTGGGGTGGTGCAGAAATGATTTTTCATGTAGTAAAAGGCTGTTACATTATGGACAAAACCGACTTACACGTAACAAAGTATGAAAGGGACCAACTTGGTAGATCTGAACTTCACTTTCAGAAGGTTGTCACTATGAATCATCTTTTTCTGCAAAAATTCATTATTATAGTCAACTACTTGACAAATTTTTACAAACGTAAACAAGAGAGTAAAGTGCAAACCATTGGAATTATCAGGGATTTGCAACTTTCAATCGAACTCCAAAATATCAGTTTATTGGCCCTTTGTAGAAGGCATGGGTTAGTATACTGGGAAACATATCAGACAATAAGCTTGTGGCACTATAGTGTAGTACACAAATTACTAGGAAAGTCCCCAACACCAATATTGTAATGTGCAGTGAAACTCAAAATTAATGCCTAATCAGATATTCTGCAAGAGACAGGTCGATACAGAAAATCCTAGTGTAGAATTTTTAGTCCCAACAAACACAGACATGGTAATGATTTATGAATTGGTCACCGTTTTCCTAGAAGTACTTCAAATAAGTAATGTTAGACAGTTATGACACGTTACAAGCATTACAATAAACTAAGGTCATGTGATTAGGGAAATAGTTGAGAACAGATCTTGTATCCAAAAACTCAACTAACATTTAAAGAAAATTATTCGAAATTCTTTGTGTTCTTGTGTTAGCAAATAAATTAAAATTCGGGCTAAGAAAATATGGAGAAGCGTTTGTGACTCTAGCCATTCAATTAAGTAAACTTTACATACAACCTGGTTTGTCTCTATAAACACGACATATCCTGCTGCTTAAATCTAATTTATCCTGAAATACTAATAATAACATGCAGTTCCCTGTTGTTTAGTTCATACAAACAAACCACATTACTTTTTTTTCAGGTGAAAACTTTTTGCTCCCTGAAGTAATAGATATTTGTTCGCCAAGGAATAGGACTTAGCAGATAAGAGACTTGAGACCTTTGCTGAGATAAAGATAATATCTATGATAATATCCTAAAATTTTGGCAGATAGCTGCATAGGGAAAAAAAAATTTAGCTTATACATGTAAAAGTGTGATCAAAACATAGTAACACCCCACCCCACCCCACCCCCACCCCCCAACAAAAAAAATGAAGCTCTAAGTTTAATCAAATATCCTTACAAATAAGTCCAATTATAACACAATAGTTTGCATTTAGAAGGTTTAACAGCGTAATTGGTGACTGTTGCATTGAACATCAAAATCAATCTGGCAACTGCTACATGTCTGTCCGAGACCTTATTCTAGAAAAATCATCTAGCTTGCAAAAACTCAGAAAATCTTTTTGCGAACAAATTGACTTCAGTCAAGACTGAAAGAGTTAACCTTCTTGATATTGTTATTGGTAGATATCCTTGGTGATATCTTTGGGATCAAAAGATATTATTAACATTATTTTGTTTCTCCGGATTTTTCATTAAGGCAGATTGTTCTTAAATTCATTGACTGGTCAGCATGTACTGTTTTCTCTTCATCATTGGTTTAGAAATTAACCATTTTTTGAAAACTGTTACTCAGAGCACATCCAAGACAAGCAAATCCAGCGAGATGACGAGTATTATGAAGGGGACAACGACAATGACCATGCAGAAGATGGCCTATATTGTAATGTCTAATGTACAAAACAAGTATTCATGGTGATTACAAGGGATGCATCTGAAGTGTAAGTCATGTAGAGTAGTTGTCAATGTATCAAGACAAGCTGTGGTTAAGGTGAAAGTTTTTGTCCCAATTACTGAAGTCCGTATATACATCACTCCTTGGTTGTTGATTCTTGTGACTGTGCGTGTACTCTTTCTCATAACAAATTTTATGTAACAAATTCACGGCTTGCGAACTTGTTTTCGAAGTCAGGGATATAACTTGGTTGGCCTTTGATTAGTTGTTGATCGATCTGCTTATTGATGACACGTTGTTGCGAGGATAAATCTCTGTTGTGTGCTGCTACTGGGATATTGTGGTGGAGATAGTATTGAAATCTATAGAGGGATCTCGACTGTCAGAAGCACATCACTATCTTGTTTATTTAGATAAGAAACGTGCATATTTTGATATCCAACAGTTTTGGATAACGTGCAAATGTAATTTTACAGTGACTTGCGGAGGTAAATGACTTCGTGTCATCGTGTGGTCCAAAATTGGTAGTTGTGACCTTTTGTGAAGATTTGTTGTACTAGTGTGTACACTGTGCAAAGCACGACATATCTTTTTTTTCCTGCTATATTAATCCTGATTTTAAATGCTACAATGTTTTTTAAATTTTTTCGAATTGCTATAGTATCAGGCTCTGCTACAGTAATTTTTTAAAATGCTACATTGTTCCTGTACGCTGCAGTATTTTTTTTCAAAAAAAGGTACAATACCCTATACCTTGTTTCCTGTTGCTATAGTAATAACAGTACAATAAAATTATATTGTAGTATTTACTGTAGTATGAACAGTGAATCTTAGGTTCTCCTGTTTGTATAGAGGAATAGATATGCGCAAGGGTCATGAGGTTTTAGTCTTTTTGGATTAAATACATTCGGTACTTTGTAGTATGATGTATTTACACTGGTGATCCTGGGTCTTTGTATCTACACAAATATCAACTTATATTCACTGTTGCATAAAATCGAACAGTCACTTAGCACCATTTGTTTTTTTCCCTAACATGTTCACTAACACAATACCGGAATTCCTAAAATGCCCTTTTTACATTTAGGCATCTTTTGGTATAATGTAATTACACCTTCGACCCTGTATCTACACAAGAAACCTAGACAACAAGTTAACCCTGCTTTTCCATTATTTTTCTTTCTTTTTTTACTTTTCTTTTCTGATGCTGACATGAAGTTTTTCAGCCCAAGGTTTCATTTGCTCATTGCAACTGTGAGGGAAAGTCACTTTATTACACAAGGGCGCTAAGATATTAGTCCCACAAATCTGCTGTAATTCTATATTAGTCCCTCAAATCTTTGAAATTGCTCATAAATCCTAAGAGGTCTTGCAATTTGGTATATCTCAGTTGCTTTTAAGGGTTGTTTGCTATTTGATACCCTAAAGTTTATAATATTTTTCATTTTGATATCCCAAAGTTTTATCTAACAATTTGATATCCTAAAACTTTTACACATTAGCTTTTATATCCTAATGTTTCCACAATTTTCAAATTTGTTACCTCAAAATTTACACATCTTTTAACTTTGATATCCAAATGGACTACTAAAGTGTCAAAAATAATAATTTAGTGTATGAAAGCTAAATGTATAAACTTTATCGCATCAAAATGTCAGAAAAACTTTATGGTATTAAATTTAAACAAGGTGTAAACTTTAGGGTACCAAAATGTCAAAGAAACTTTCGGGTATTAAAAATTAAAAATTAAAAATTTTATGATATCAAACTGCAAATAACCTTTTTTTAATAGGATGAATTTTGCGAGAAAAAGAAATATAAATGAGGGACATTTTGATCATTGAGGGATCAGACTTACAAGACCGCTTTAGGGTTTGAGGGGCTATCGAGCAATTTCAAATATTTGAGGACTAATATAGAATTATTAAAGAGTAGAGGGACTAATACTAAGTAATCCTTTACAAAATGTTTTGCTTCTTAATTTGTTGAGCTTGTTTTAATTGCACTCAACTTTGAGCGGGGCTCACATTCCACGTCAGCAGCCTTTGCAGTTAAATTCGATCAAAACAATGAGAAAATATGTTGTTATGAAAGGATATTTTGTCTTTTAATGTGCAGTATTATGTTCTGTTAAGTATTTCACTCCGGTCAGTAAACTTGAGGTTACTCGTGCAGATACATAAACTTGGGGTTATCTATGTAGTTACGTCATACCACAATGTATCAGAATGTAACTAATCTTATGGCCTGTTTGGATGGAGGGTAGAGAGTGGGAAGGGAAGGGAAATTTTATTTTAACATTGTTTGAGAGTTTCATTTAGGAGGGTAGAGGAGAGGAATGGAGGGGAAATTTGACCCAAATTCTTACACCCCAAATTGGGGTGTAATGGAGGGGAAGGAAAGGAAGGGGAAATTTTTTCCCCTTCCTTCCCTTTCCTAACCATTAGTTTAGTTTAGGATAACTTGTGGATAGAATCCCTTTGCATTACTAGGTTACCCTTGCTATCCCTCTAGTTTTATTTTCGTGAATAGACTCCTTGAGTGAATTTCTTTGACTCTTTTATCGTTGAGGGCCAAATCATATAAATACTTTTTTCTTTTTCTTTGACAGTAAAAGTGTAAAAAAGATTTCACAGAAGGGGTCTATCTGTAAATATAAAAGCAGATGACAAAAAAGTTCAAAACAACTAACGCTACAAGAGGTCTCTCTACAGTTAGTCCTGTTTTTAATTAGAATTTCACCTTTAATTAGTCCCTTAAGTCTATAATGTACAGTATTTGCGTACGGAACAAGAATTATCTTTTTTTTCACTCAGCATATTTATTCCCCGTTCCAAAGAGAAACAATAACTACGATACAATATTACAAATTAAAAGAAAAGCGAAAAAATGATAAAAAAAAAGGGTTAGAGCACAAGTCACATTCTAGCTGGTTCAATAGTTTTCGGATAATCAACCAACATGATGGGCCGTGGGCCACTCAAAAAGCACGAAATGTGAGGCTGAAGATTTGCCTTATAGTACTAGGCCCAAATTAACGACTTCGATAAGTAAACCAAGACAAAGATAATTAATTTAAAATAAAAAAAAACCCATGCATGTGATTTGAGTCAAACATTCGTCTATTTCCTCCATTTCATTTGTATACTCAATTTTCATCGTCAACTAATAAGAGTAATAAACGAGAGGATATTTGATAACAGCGCCTATATTTGAGGGCGCCTAAAATTCTAGGTAAGAGTTCTTCTCTTCTCAATGATTTCTCAAAATTTTGGGCATTTTTTCTTTCTTGTAATGATTTAACTGCCCATAATCTCAAAATTTTGGGGCTTTTCGCCTTTTCTTTAGATATTGGATCTCTATCTTAGTGAAATGGTTTCAGACTGGAAATGTTAAATACAGAAATGACCGAATTAGGTTAAATGATGAAAATTTAGCGTAGACCACTTCCAATTACAACGCTAATCTTGATCGAGCGGAGATCTCAAGTTATATTGATGATTTCACTTCCAATAAATTGTTGATAATTTAGCGTATAAATAAAGACTCCATCTTTTTAGGAATTCTACGGTATTATCTGAAAATGTTTGCTTCTTTGTAGTGAATTAGCTTTGGTTGAATGAAAAGAGAAAGGATTTGTTTGTTTTCATGATTTTTTTCCCCTATTTAGGTTTTTTTTATTGGATGCACTAGAGTTTTCAGTTGGCTTACATCAGTGAAGCGCTACTAGTATCAGGATGGGAACTTGTGATATGTCTTTACATTTTCTTTGCGGTGCGGCAACTACCCAGTCTGGCTTATTTGCAAGCACTTCAAAATTGACGGCTCCCTTGGAATCTCATGTGAAATCTAGGAAGAAAAGAAGTTCAGTTCACTTGAAGTATCAGATATATGCAAGACCACCCTCAAATTGCTTGCATGTAAATAAGTTACCCATTAATGCTTGTTATTACGGGACTAAATTAAGAAACAGATCTCGACAGCTTAAATGTCAATGCCAACGAGTTGAGGGGATCACGGGTATAAAAGGTGAGGATAATGGCAATGGGTCCTGGCTCAAGGAAGCGGCTACTGACAATGGCCAGGTTCAGAATGAGGAGTTGCATCAGTCAATGAATGGGAATGGGAACCTCATTTCGAGTGATGATAAATCTCTCCTCTCTGGATCGGCTACACCAACATCACATAAGAAGAAAGGATCCTCTGTGGAAGATGAGGCATGGCGTCTTTTACAGGAATCAATGGTTTATTATTGTGGTAGTCCTGTTGGAACAATTGCTGCCAAGGACCCGACTGATGGTAATGTCCTGAACTATGATCATGTCTTCATTCGGGACTTTATACCATCAGGTATTGCATTTCTGTTGAAGGGAGAGTATGATATTGTTCGGAACTTCATCCTTCACACTCTTCAGCTGCAGGTACTTTCCATATTTTCATTGTAAACCAGATGTAGATGCTAAATAGAGGCATTAATTCATCCTTCATTTTTGAGTTCGGATACAGAGCAGTGCCATTGATTACTGCTTCTGAATAAATGCATGTAACATTACTTATCAGTACCAGTTATAGGGGAGTTATCACTTCATAGTTTAAATTATACACGGACTATATTGTATTAGTATACGCTATACACTATACACAAACATACACAGTATATATAAATGAGAGATATTGATTTCCTTAAGCTTTTTTTGGTATTTAATTTTGAGTGTTCATAGAGTTGGGAGAAAACCATGGACTGTCATAGTCCAGGTCAAGGGCTGATGCCTGCCAGCTTTAAGGTGCGGACGGTTCCTCTTGATGGTGATGATTCTGCAACTGAGGAGGTATTGGATCCTGACTTTGGAGAAGCTGCAATAGGCCGTGTAGCACCAGTTGATTCAGGTAAGTTATTTATATATAATTGCCAAGTCTTGTCGTTATTTTACATACCGGGCTACCACAAGCAGATATGTGCAATTTCTTCAGATATTATTTTTTAAATCCCTTTGATTGATTTTATATCATCCTTTCTCCTTATTCCACATCGTTTGCTGTACATTATATATTACTTTCTCTCTTCAGGTTTATGGTGGATTATATTGCTAAGAGCATATGGAAAATGCTCAGGCGATCTCTCAGTTCAAGAGAGGATTGATGTCCAGACTGGGATTAAGATGATCTTAAGGCTTTGCCTTGCTGATGGTTTTGATATGTTCCCTACATTACTAGTGACTGATGGTTCATGCATGATAGATCGTCGCATGGGAATTCATGGGCATCCTCTTGAAATTCAGGTGAAGCTTAATTAATATATGCTTTTACTTCATTTTTATCCCACAGGAATTAATTTCTTTGCTTAATGATTACACAATCCTAACAGAAACAAGCTCAACATAGTTATTTTCTGATACTTTAACTGTGAGGTTTTAGAACAAGCAAAGGAAATAGCGTTGTATTACTAAGTCAGCAAAGGACCAAATAATATGGTGATACATTAATTGACACCCGTACATTCTTTATTCATGCTATCCGACGACTCGTTAGACCATTTAGTTGGAACTATGAAATCATAAAAAGATTACAAATAAAATCTTTCAATATTCATTAACCGAAATATATGTGTATATTCTAAAATTTCTCAGTCATTATTTATGTAGTCATTTCGTTTTTAAACCAACTCAATCACAAACTTATGCAATAAACTCTCTGCACAATTCAATAACAAATAATTCCAATGTCTTCATAATTCTTTTCTTTGATCAAATCAGTGATTATTAATATAGGAAAGTTTGGGATGCTAATGCGTTCTACTTTTACTTACATATATGATTTATAAGTCCTTAAAAGAGCTGTATACTCACCTCATTATAGCTCTTTTGGTATGTCAAATACATGTGAAGGAATCTAAGAGCTGTAAATCTCTAGCATAACAACCTTTAAAACAGAGCTGCAAAGTGGTGTGCGTGTAGAATGTTATCTTAATGGAGTGAGTACACAGTAGTAAAAGGAGTGCAAAAAACTATATTTGTTCAACTGTTTCCTCTTACAAGATCTCTCTTTCTGTAATGATGGTCACTTTGACCTGTTACCTAGGCTTAATCTAGCATGCAACCTGAATATCCAAACATAAACAAAAACTCTAAAGTAAATGTATGTCTCACTCAGCTCAGACCAATCGAAACATGGATCTTAAACCTGATGTGTGCCGTGAATTTAGTCGATATCGATAACTAGTTGAATAAAGAACAGTGAAACCATATTGAACCTACAAATTTGGCAAGTACCAGTTTGAAAGAAAGCCCAATACCCAAACTGATCTAGTGGCAAGGCTATAGTTTCAGTAGCACCAATTTGAAGTTGTTTTAAGATGTCTTTTCAAGTCTTATTCGTTTAACCATACTATTGGGTACTCATATGCGCAAGGAATATTTTAATTGTTTTTATACTAAATATCTTCCACATGATGTACATCCCCCTTGAATAAATTATAACAAAAAATAGAACAGGAAACCTATAAGTTTAATAGTTAACAAGCGAGATTAAATTTGGTCTTATATGCATATCAGACTTGTTGAAGCCGTCATTTGAAAGTTTTTACATAGGATTTTCTGATGGTGCTGATTAGGGAATTGGACATGCTAGGTATCACGACCTTCCAATTTTATTTTTTACAGTCATATGGGACCATGGGCATAAAACAACCCGTGAAAAGTAGTTTAGTGACCGATAATGAAGCATGTGATTAGGAATCCTATACTATGAATATAGTTATAGGCTGCTGCGACCCATAAACATTTGGTAGTTTAACCTGCTGAAACAAAGAAATAAGAGGTGAGGTGAGTGAGAAACATTTGGTGGTTCTAGGTTTTTTTGCGTGAATATTTGCATATACAGTTTTTTGTGTTCTTGTTTCACACCTGAATTTGATTACCTCAGAGATATTGTTAGGCTTGTGTCAGTTCATTGTTTTTGGATATCAAACTTAGCTGCTAAAGGCAAATTAATAATGCTCTCCAATGCTGCTATGCATAGTTGAAGAAAAAAGATCAACATTTTCTAGTAAATGCTGTTCTAGACACTATACAGGCAAATCAAATCAATACCCTTTATTGCAAATCAATCATGTGGCTTTAATTGTATATAAATAGATAGTAATGTATTTCTGTAATCTTTAAGCTCATAAATAGTTTCTCATGCCGCTGCAGGCGCTCTTTTATTCAGCACTTTTGTGTGCGCGTGAGATGCTTGCACATGAGGATGGATCTGCTGACCAGGACCTTATCCGAGCATTAAATAACCGACTGTTAGCCTTATCTTTCCATATAAGGGAATATTATTGGGTGGACATGAAAAAGCTCAATGAGGTTTACCGCTACAAAACCGAGGAATATTCTTATGACGCTGTTAATAAGTTCAACATCTACCCGGACCAAATTTCTCCATGGCTTGTGGAGTGGATGCCTGATAAAGGAGGCTACTTCATTGGAAATCTGCAGCCTGCTCACATGGACTTCCGTTTCTTTTCTCTAGGAAACCTGTGGTCTATAGTAAACAGTTTGGCAACTACACATCAGTCTCATGCAATTTTAGATCTTATAGAGGCTAAATGGTCTGATCTAGTGGCTGATATGCCTTTAAAGATATGTTACCCTGCTCTTGAAGGTCAAGAGTGGCGAATCATTACAGGCAGTGATCCTAAAAATACGTAAATCCTTAAGCCCTTATTATTCATTAACTTTTCCCTTTGTCAGTTCTTTGTTTAAATTATACTATTCTTCAAAATTTAGACGTGTACTCAATTATACACTACATATTTCATTTCGAAACACTTGTCATGCACTTCTTGGACATATATCTTACACTTCAAATTCATTTTTGGAATTTGTTGGGCAAGGGTCGAGCTTGTTTCGGCCTTAAGAAGTATAATTTCAAATGAAACTTTGCATATCTAGCTGAAAAGCAAGATTACAGCCAATGAGTTTTAGCCGTATCCTCATTCCACCAGGGACCAATATTGGTAGTAAACTGTGGGGGTGGCATGCCCACACAAAATTTTCAAAATTTTTTATAGTCTCCCATATTTAAGTAGGTGCCCTCCATAGGTTTTGAGTGGTGCCCCTAAGCCCCCAGCCTAATTAGCCCATTTAAGCCTACACCATTTTAGCCTAGCAATAAAAAATATCCTATACTTAATATTGTAGCCCAACAAGCCATACCATAAATTTTATTTGAGCAATTGATTTGAGAGTTGAAAGCTATCCCTATATTATTTAATCCTTCTTTCCAACATAATTGTCCCTGCCAATTCCCTACGAAAGACAAAAACTGCTCCTTCCCCCACGAAAACAAAAAGGATTTTTTTTCCATATTAGTCCCTTAAATCTTCTATAGTTGGAGATTAGTCACTCGAATCATTGAAATTGCTTGAGGTTTTTTATAATTAGTCCCTCAGATCATTAAAATTACTATTAGGTCTCCCAATTTTGAAGTTATTTTAAAATTAGTCCCTCAACTAGAGAGTAAAATAGCAACTCGAAGGGAATTAGTCTCTCAAATTTTAAAAATTTTCATTCGATTCCCAATGCTCGTAAATTGTTTCAAATTAATTACTTTAATTGATAACTTTATTATTCATTTATATAAAAACCCAAACAAAAAACACAGTGGACCTAGGGCTTCGCAGTTACCCTGGTTTGGAGTGATAGAGGAAAATGGCCTAGTCTAGCCTTCGAGGGCTTCATCTCAAAGAATTCTCTTGTCGTAGGTTTGAGTTTTTTCTTACAATTAACTTCGAAAATTGACGAGTTTTATTGATATTCTGTTAGGGAGAAATCAAGCTCAATCGAAGTTGATCGGTTAAAAGATAGACTAGCAACCAATTCTAACCCAAAGGTTATACCTACTAGGTATTAGCCCCAACTTCTATTTTAAACTCATCCCTCTTTCTTATCCTATCGATGTTGGTCTATACTCACATATTAATAACCTCAACAACTCGCCCTTAGCTATACTTCATAATTCACTGGGATTCACTAACTTTGCACCACTTCACTCGTGGGCAAACTTCACTAACCTTTTTGCACCACTTCACTCGTGGGCTAACAAGACTGCGTATTCAGCACATGGCTAGAAACGTCCGTAGGATCTTCTACTACTTCACTCGTGGGGGCTAACTAGATTATATTATTCTTTTAGGCATGCGTGGGTTCTCGTAACGCTTCACTCATAGGCTGACAAGACCGTAAATTCCGCACATGGCTAGAAATATTCGTATGATCTTCTACCACTTCACTCGTGGGGGCGAACCGCAAACTATATTATTCTTATGAGCATGCGAGGGTTCTCTTAACACTTCACTCATAGGCTAACAAGACTATGCATTCATCGCATGGCTTGAAACATCTGTAGGATCTTCCACTACTTGTGGGGGCTAGCCGTGGATTAACTTTAACTTTGTCTATCAACCTTATTCATTCTCCCTGACACCTTCAGGCTTCACATTGGACTTTATTACTTTTTTTTTTAAAATTACTTGGACCATAACCTTAGCTTTGATACCATTTGTTAGGGAGAAATCGAGCCGAACCTAGAGTTGATGGGCTTTAAACAGAGGCTGAGAACCAATTTTAACCCAAAAGATATAGCTACTAGCTATTGGCTCTAACTCCTATTTAAACTTATCATTCTTTTTTATTCTAAACTTATCACTCTTTTTTATTCTATCCAATATGGGAATGTACTCAGATATTAATAATCTCAACATATTCAACAACATATGGATTCTAATTTTTTTTCTTAATTAGAATATTTAAATATAGAATTTTAAAAGATAGATTGATACTGGTGTATCTTCTTCCCTGTCTCGGGAGCTTAGTGATCCTCATGAGAGCTTGAGGATAGATGATTCTCATGGTATCTTGAGAATAGAGTCGTGGTTGGAGCCAAAAAAGACGGCGAAAGAAGTCGGAAGAAGCGAAACGCAGAAGAACAGGGTAAACTGGCAGTTCTCTGTCCGGTCGACCGCGGCACACATGCCGGTCGATCGGACAACCCTGCAGGGCACAGGGAACAGGAAGTTCTCTGGCCGGTCGACCGGACCATGCTTAGCGGTCGACTGGATCGTGAATTCTAGATTTCCTGTTTTATTTTGGATTCTGTTCTGACAGGGACTCCTCTTTCTTTTGGGCTTGTTTATTTACAAGATTGCCACCCATGTTGTACCTGATATAAATAGGTTATTGTAGGGTCTTAAAAAGGGAGATCTTAGGGAGAGAAATTCTAATAATTGTATTAGGGTTTAGAGAGAGTTGAGAGGTTGTTCTCGATTCTAGTGAGATTGTGAGAGAAGGATTGTAATCTTTTCATACTCATAATCTAGAGAAGATAATTTTCTTCGTCATACTGAATTGTTCTTGTGTTTTGGTCATCCTCTTCTCAACCCACCTTTTGGTAATTCCGCGATCAAAGGGTGCTCGCACGGCAACTCGTATCAAGTTGGTATCAGAGCATCAGATCCGGTGAAGGGGTATCCTGTGTATGGTCCTTACTCGGTCCTAATACAAGAAGCTTGGCGAGATCCTTATTTCATTGGAAGGAGTCCAGGATTTAAAGAAGGAAAAGATGGCTGAAAGAGATAATTCAGTGAGGATTGATGCATTAGAGAAGCAGATCGAGACGATAGGATCGACGCTCACAAAACTCGTCGGTCTCATCCAAGGAGGGAACGAAAAGGGGGAATTTTCTTCTAGGTCTAAGAAGAAACCTATAGAGTCAGGTGGAGAGAGCGAGCTTTCAGGCTCCGACGAGGAGGACGAGACCGTCAAGGCTGCACCGCATCAAGGGGGTAAGAATTCTTACCAGAATCTGAAGATTGATTTCAGAGTGGAGATTCCTATTTATGATGGGAGTGTTGACGTCGAGAGGCTTGATGACTGGATCGAGCGGATGAAGACGTATTTTACTCTTTATGGTTACTCGTCAAAAGAGAAGATTGTGTTCGCGACTTTGAAGCTTTCAGGACACGCGTTGATGTGGTGGAAATCCTATTGCAAGCAGGAGAAAAAGACGGTGTCGTGGAACAAGTTCAAGAAGCTACTTAGAAAACAGTTCTATCCGGTGGGATTCCTTGAGGAGCGTTGGTACAAGTGGTATGGCTTGCGCCAAAGGGTCAATCAAACCGTTCAAGAATACACTACGGAGTTCCAGCAGCAGGTAATGGTTCTTAATGTTGCGACAGAGGAATATTCCGTGTTCATGAAGTATATGGCGGGATTGAGCGATTACATCCGAAAGGAGATGAGGTTATTCACGGTCGAGACTATTGCAGAGGCGAGCGTGAAGGCCATTGCCATTGAGGGCAAGCAAAAAAAGAGCAACAAAGCAAAGGGGATGCAAAGCAAGTTGGAGGCGAGTCTAGTGGTTCTCAGTTTAAGGAGGAGAAGAAGAAAGGTGATCCAGGAAAAACAGGAGTGATTTGTGGTCATTACGAGAAGACATGACACATAGCTGATCGGTGTTGGAAGAAGTATCCTCATCTCAAGCCAAGGGGGTTGAAGAAGAAGGAGGAGAAAAAGGTGTACGTGATAGCTCAAGGTCCGAAAGAAGTCCCGGGGATGACAGAACCCAATAGCAGTCTTAACTTTATGGCGGGGAAGCAGGCCATTAAAGAAGATGACGATCCGAGGGAGCAGCTCTTTGTGCTTAAGTTGCAAGTAAAGACCAGTTTGGTTGATGCCATAGTTGATTCGGGCAGCGAGAAGAATTTGATATCCGAAGCCTTGGTTCGAAAACTGGGTCTGAAGACGGTCAAGCATCCAAAGCCCTATCCATTGGGGTGGATTCAGAAGGAGGAGAAGCTAAGTATAATTGATCAATGCACTGTAAGATTTGCGCTCCATGAGTCGTATATTGACGAGGTCACATGCGACGTAGTTCCATTGGATGTTTGTCAGATTATACTGGGCAATCCGTACTTATGGGATAGATATGCGATCTACGAGAGGCGGGCTCAGAAGTATACATTCACCAAGGGTGGTGAAAAGGTCATATTTCGTTCGGCATCTCTTCCAAGGGAGACAAACTTGGGGACGGTGACGCGAGCGAAGAGGTTAGTGAATGCAAGCAAGAAGTTTGTCTCGTTGTGCATTAGACTTTCAGAAAAGCCATCGATGAAGGATTGCAACTTGGAGCGAAAAGTGACTACGACGAGACGCAGGATGAATGAGTTATTTCCGATCGGACGTCGAGATTAGATTCCTAGCAAGGCCAGGTGGTTTAGAAAAGGAGGAGGGGCTCGCGAGTTCCCTCAGCTTCAGTTCTAACTTAAACGGGACTTCAAGTTCCTAAAGGGAAGACTCATGATACGGGTCTATCTTCTTCCCTGTCTCGGGAGCTTAGTGATCCTCATGAGAGCTTGAGGATAGATGATTCTCATGATATCTTGAGAATAGAGTCGTGGTTGGAGCCAAAGAAGACGGCGAAAGAAGTCGGAAGAAGCGAAACGCAGAAGAACAGGGTAAACTGGTAGTTCTCTGTCCGGTCGACCGCGGCACACATGTCGGTCGACCGGACAACCCTACAGGGCATAAGGAACCGAAAGTTCTCTGGCCGGTCGACCGGACCATGCTTGGCGATTGACCGGATCGTGAATTCTGGGTTTCATGTTTCGTTTTGGATTCTGTTCTAACAGGGACTCCTCTTTCTTTTGGGC